TCCCAATGAGCATGTCACCTCCTACACATGCGCCATCAAAGGTAACGATTTGGAAGATGACGAGATCGAATCTATTCTATTGAAGAAGTTCAGAGAGACTCTATCGAAGGGGGCAATGATTTGGTACCATAATCTACCGCCAAATGTCATTGACTCATTTGCCATGTTAGCGGATTCTTTCATAAAGGCACATATCGGGGCCATAAAGGTTGCGACGAGGATATCAGACCTTTTCAAAGTAAAATAGAAGGATAATGAAATGCTTAGGGAGTTCGTGTCCCGATTTCAAATGGAACGCATGGAGTTGCCACTGGTCACGGATGATTGGGCTGTTCAAGCCTTCACTCAGGGGTTGAATGAACGAAGTTCGATAGCATCACGTCAACTGAAGCAGAACTTGATTGAATATCCAGCAGTAACCTGTGCCGATGTACATAATCGGTACCAGTCGAAGATCAGAGTCGTAGATGACCAATTAGGAACTACTTCTGGTTCCGTATATCCGAACAGGTCTGCCGCTAGAAATCAGAGAGATATCGATCGGGAATCTCGGTCGAACAAAGACTGATATCAACCATACATCACAGATCGCAGGAACGACAGTCCTGGACGCAATTCCACCCGAAATGACTGAAAAAGTGATCGAGGATAGAGTTCTCGGGGACTTATGAGCAAAAGTGGTTTTGATAAGCACGCTGATCCCACAAAGGCACCTCGATTGTTGGAGTATAACTTTAATATCGACGCATCATGTATTGTATAGGCAATTGGATGAATCAAAGATACTAGATGGCCTAGGCCCATACAGACCGATCCTTCCCAAAGAAACCCCAATATGATGTGTAAGTATCACGGCACACATGGCCACAAAAATGAGGATTGCAGGCAACTAAGAGAGAAGGTAGCCCGTCTATTCAACGAGGGTCACCTTCGAGAGTTCTTAAGTATCGAGCCAAGAATCATTTCAGAGAAAGGGACTCCAACAGGAAAAATGAACAGGAAGAGCCACAACATATGATCCATATGATCGTCGGCAGGGTCGATATTCCACAAGGGCCTGTGTTCAAACGCACTAAGGTATCAATTACTAGGGAAAACCGGACCCGAGATTATGTGCCAGAAGGCACCGTATCATTCAACGATGAGAAAGCAGAAGGAATTTCTCAACCCCACAACGACACTCTGGTAATTTCTATCTTTATGAATAAAGTTCAAGTTAAGCGTGTTTTAGTGGATCCAAGTAGCTCGGCAAATATCATCCGATCGAGGGTCGTGGATCAGCTCGCCCTACAAGACCAAATCGTGCCCGCAGCTCGGGTCTTGAACGGTTTCAACATGGCCAGTGAAACGACTAAAAGAGAGATCATTTTACCGGTGAACATGGCTGGAACTATTCAAGAAACCAAGTTCCATATAATCGAGGGCGACATGAGGTACAACGCCCTACTCGGGAGGCCCTGGATTCATAATATGAGGGCAGTCCCTTCGACTCTCCACCAAATGATGAAATTCTTGATTGCGGACGGGGTGAAAACAGTATATAGGGAGCATTATGCTGCAAAGGAAATGTTCACGGTCGATGAGGTAATACCAATATCGGCACTTTCCATGTCAAAGGGATTGGAGGTTAAAGGAAAACAGGAGGCCAAATAGCAACCACAGCCACCAGCCTCGGCTGAATCGGAGAAGCATGGAATGAAAGAAGAAGAATACGATTATTAGATCCCTCAATCCTTCGTTATTCCCGAAGATTCCGACGACACCAAATCAACAGTCGAAGAGCTGGAACATGTTATATTGATCGAGTACCTACCCGAATGAAAGGTGTACCTGGGTACGGGGTTAACCCCCGAACTCAGGAAGAAACTTATTAAATTTCTTATTGATAACATAGATTGTTTTGCTTGGTCCCACTTAGACATGATAGGGATCCCACCAGAGATAACAACACATCGATTGAGTCTGGACCCAAAGTTCAGGCCAGTGAAACAAAAGAGAAGGCCCCAATCCGAGGTAAAACACGCATTCATCAAGGATGAGGTAACTAAACTTCTCAAAATAGGATCCATTCGGGAAGAAAAATCTCCTGAATGGTTAGCCGATGTAGTTATAGTCCCTAAAAAACACAGGTTCTACCTACCAACGCCTAGTAAATAAAATGTTCAAAGAACAAATAGGTAAGTCAATGGAAGTATATATTGATGATATGCTAGTTAGGTCCCTGCGCGCAGAGGACCATTTGACACATTTGTAGGAAACGTTCAAGATACTGAGAAAATACAACATGAAGCTCAACCCCGAGAAATGTGCTTTCGGGGTCGGTTCGGGCAAGTTCCTTGGCTTTATGGTGTCGAATCGGGGGATCGAGATCAACCCCGATAAAATCAAGACTATCGAAGACATCACAGTCGTAGACAACGTTAAAGCCGTATAAAGGCTGATAGGGCGAATATCTGCTTTAGGTCGATTCATCTCGAGATCGTCAGATCGGAGCCATAGGTTCTTCTCACTACTCAAAAAGAACAACAATTTCGCCTAGACCCCGGAATGCCAGCATGCGTTAGAAGAATTAAAATGATACCTCTTGAGCCCACCATTGTTTCATACTCCAAAGGCATATGAGAAGCTCTACTTATACCTAGCAGTCTCGAAAATTATGGTAAGTGGTGTCCTAGTTCGAGAAGAGCAAGGTACGTAATTTCCTATTTATTATGTAAGTCAAACTCTAGAGGTAGGGTCTCGACAATCATCGCCGGTTTAGAGGACTTGGCAGTCTCGGCAGTCTTCTTCACTCATGTCACAAGCGCCGAGTCACTACCCTCATTTTTTTCTTCTTCTTCTTCTTCTCTCAGCGTTTGGACTGACTCTACAGTCAGAGGGATAACATTCCCCCTGCATCTTCGAGCTGCTGCCTTTTTGGGTTTGGGGTCCTCGGATGTCGAGACCCTCTTTCTTTTATTATCTTTCCCCAGCTTCGGAGCCGGGGCCATAGCCTCTTCCTCGCTGCTCGGAGGCCTCAAAACTGTATCTTTGTTAAGGCCTGCACAAGAAAGAAGTAAGTAAAAAATGCATAACCAATGCCTCAGAAATAAGAAAATGGAAACTCACCATGGTTCTTTGCTTCCCACCGACCTTTTGCCATGTCACGCCAACAACGCTCAGCATAGGAAGAGGTCGAAACCAGCTTTCAAACCCAGTCCTCAAGGTTAGGGACTGCTCGAGGCATCCAAGCAACCGATGCACGACGAAGGAAGATGTTAAATGAAGCAGAAAATAAAAACATTGAAATTGATAATTAGAGTGCTACTTAAGCTTCGGGTTCCATTTCTTAGGAAATGGCATTTTCTCCTTCGGGATAAGGTCACAAGTCCTCACCCGAACGAACCGACTTATCCACCCCCAGTCCTTGTCCTCGTCGATACTCGAGAACAACATCTTGGTCGCTCAATGTTGCAGTTTGATCAACCCTCGAAAGATTCAAGGGCTGTATAACCTGATGAGGTGATCGAGGGTGAACAACAACCCCCCAGCTTTGCTAGTGAAGAATCGGAGCATGATCACAATGCGCCAAAAGGAAGGGTGTATTTGGCCTAGAGTCACCTGATAGTAACGGCAAATGTCAATGATGACCGGATCGGGGGGGACCAACGTGAAAGGATAAGTGTAAACACTTAGATACCCTTCCACGTGGGTAGTAATGCTTTCTTCAGGAGAAGGGATCTCTACAACTTTGTCCCCCCAGTTGCAATCTTTTTTTATATCCTCGAGATATCCCACCATTATCGAGCAGATATACCTCGATACGTGCTCACATCGACCATAGACCGATGGAGGATTTTCGATTTTGAAGACAAATTTAAGAACACACGGGTCGGGAACATACTCCCCAGGGAGCGATTCCGCCGGCGTTTTATCACCGGCCGGCCGTGAAGAAGAAGAGGAAGCTTTTTCCTTTTGTGGAACAGTTTTGGATATTTTCTCCATTATATGAGTTAAAGAAAGAGGAAAGTAGTAAGTTCTGGTGGTTCGAAACTAGCGGAGATAACCTAAGGAGTAATGAAAGAGAAGAGATTAAGAGAGTTAAAAGCTTAGAAAAACTTATGAAGATGAAAGTAAAGTTTGATTCAGCAAAAAGAAGCCATATTTATAGATTTACGGTGACAGCTCGACCGCACTAGTGGCCGACCGCCCAGTGACGCGCATTAATTGTTTGGGGAACTGTACCGACGGGACATTTTGGTCACTTCCATCGCTTACGTCACGAGGATGACATCATTATCTATCGAGTTCATAGAAAAATCAAGGCTCAATTCATTTCTTATCATTATATTCCAAGAAACAAGGGGTTTATCTGTATACGGTAGAAATCGGGGCTACCTGATTTCACTATTTGATCGAAGAGCTGAAACATTAAGTCCGAAATCGAAGCCTCCTTCTAGATCGAGGTCGATATCAATCGAAGCCAGAAGAGATAGACTTAGAGTAATATCGAGATAGCTTTGTAGCGGAAAGAGCAAGATATCCGTGATTGGTCGAGGATCGTGGCGTGAATCTCGGAACGGATCAAATCGATAACGGTCAATCAGCTGTTTATACAATCTCCTTATGTAATTAGAAGTATACCATGATTAGGATTCCTCTACTATATACAGAGGAATTCCAGTCATTTGTAATCATCATTGTTCACTGAGAAAAAGCTATACAATCATTTCTTTCTTACTTATTGTTCTGCTTACTGTTCATCAGAATTATTTTATCTTACTCGTTCTTGTACTACTGTCACCTCGAGAATAAATCATTTCTAGGTCGAGGCTCAGCTTACATACTGGTTTGATTTATTTTACAGTTTAATTTAGTCATTTACTTTCTCATTTATCAATTGGTATTGGGTGAAATCGCATATCATTAAAACCATAATATAAGTTTAATTCTTATCCAAATTTTAGGGTAAACAAATAGCACTTTCAAGAACTTATGAGGAAAATAGCCCACAAGCATTAATGACCATTGGATTGCTCAACGCATCATCTGCTGGCCTTCAGATCTATATGGCTTTGGTAGATCTTCTTGCTGCAGATTTTATGTGTGACAAGTTACAAGGCAGTATTAAGCTACAGATCAAGTCTTACATGGCCAAATGGGATAATATTTGTTTCCTTGATTGTTTTAGGAAATAAGTTTTTGTGTGAATTCTCCCCCTTTTTTTTATGTCCCTCCTTTCCTCCAATTTTAAAATTGTAATTTGGTATCCTTTTCATTTTCGTGACTCATTGTGAGTTTCAACATATTGTGTAAAATATGTCTCCTCTTTTTTCCTTAAATGTTTGCCAATGACCAAATCGATATATCTTATATATTATGTCTCCATATATTGTACTTATTCTTACAATCTATATACGAGGTAGGGGATAATGCCAAGCCCCCATCACCTCAGGCCAGCATTGTAACGACCTGACTGGTCATTTTGAGAAATTACATCCGTCTCGGCAGTTTGAGGTCACGAGTAGCTTCACACAGTGTATTATGACTTGCGTGCATCATCGGTTCGGGATTTTGAGAGGTTCGGAAAGGGTTTTTAGGAGTTACTCTCATTTGAGAAGCTCGAAGTTGAAGGAAATGACCCAGGGTTTGACTTTTGAGTATTTGATCTCGGATCGGAGTTTCGATGGTTCCGGTAGGTCCGGACAACGATTTTGGTCTTGGCGTATGCCTGAAATTTTATTTGGATGTTTCTAAAAGGTTTCAACATCATTTGGCAGAAGTTGGCAATTTAAAGGTTTAAATGTTTTCTAAATTTGACCATGGTTTAACTTTAAGGCTATCGGGTCCGGATTGTAGTTTCGAAACTTAAAATAGGTCCGTTTCTTTATTTGAAACTTGCTTGTAAAATTTAGTATAATTTGGAGTTGATTTAATATAGTTCGGACGCTCGGTTGCGATTCTAGAAGTTCATTGTGTTTTTCACGTGTTTTGGCGTTCGAATCGTGATTCTAGAGGTTATTTTGATGTTTTGATCGCTCGAGAGAGTTCATGTTATGTTTTCAGACTTGTTAAGGTGTTTGGTTTAGAGCCCTGAGGGTTTGGATGAGTTTTGTATGCGTTTCGGAGTGTTGGATGAATGTTCAGTTGTGCTGGTGTCTTTGTTCTCGCATTTGCGATGTCCGCATTTGCGAGATCATTCTCGCATTTGCGACGATAGGCTGGGGCATGGTACTTCTCATTTGCGAACTATTTCATCGCATTTGCGATTAGGCAACTCCGCATTTGCGACACAAGCAGTCGCTTTTGCGAAAACTCCGAGCTCGCATTTGCAACTTTGACAGAGCTGGTCAGCCTTCGCTTTTGCGATACTTTTGTCTCATTTGCGAGCATCGTATTTGAGATTATGATGTCGCAAATGCAATATCTGAGGCTGGTATTAAGACTTCCATTTCGGGACTTAGCTTTATTTTATCATGTTTTGAACCCTAGCCTCGATGAGAGGCAATTTTGTAGAAGAATATTCATACCAAATCATTGGGCAAGTACCTCTTATCAATTTTCTATTGTATTTTGTGATTATACATTAAATTTAACATCAAATTGATGAGAATCTAAAGAAAAATTTGGGAAAAATTGTAAAATCTTTCAAAATAAAAAAAAATGATGATTTGAAGGACGAATTGGTCATGGTCATGGCCATCATCACCATGGATCATTTTCGACTAAAGTTGGAGTTGATGGCACGAAATTACTGCGATACAGAGTGATTGCCATGGTTAGTTTCCTATTCGATCTATTAGTGGTCATGCCTTTGCTCTCTTATTTTCTTTTAACATCTATGCCCTATCCCGCACAAATATAATTTTTTGCTTGTAAAATTAGTAACCTGGACAATAAAGTAAGTTACATGCTATTAATTGTTTTACGCGGTTGGTGTACACAAATAAATCATTATTTTAATTAATATTAATGTGGTAGAAATTTGGCTAAGCACTCACAAATATTTTGAAGATAATTTAATAATCTTATCGTTGTGAAATATCTAGTTGAAATAGGGAAGAAAAGGCTGGATTAGTTTGAAAACCTGTTGAATATATCGGTAGTATGTTTGATATATAACGAATAACCACTTAATCGTTGTTCTCGTGGTCGTAGTTTTCATTATCATTACTCATCTAATTCATTTATTTTTATCTATTTACTTATTTATTTATGATGATGATTATGACATTATTATTGTTAATTTTGTTGTTCTTATCATCGTGTCATCATTTATAAATAATGGCAAAGTATCAAGTATTTCAAAATGATAGGAAAAACTATATCAGATAAAATGGAGTGGCAATAGTTGTCGTTACTTATATTGATGATATCTTATGGATCCTTATATAATAAAGAATCTTGCATGCATTCATCATTTTTAAGAAAAGAAACCGTTCAATAAGGTGAAAGTCAAACGATCAATTATTTGGTGTACTTGCCTGATAGTGATTCAAGTACCACGGCTGAATTAGAGACGAGTTGCATAGTCGGGATCTGGTCTTCTTAGTTTACAAGCAACTTATCTATTTGTTTATTTTTGTTATACTGTCATTTTTATCATTTTCATATTGTTTTGTCCCTTTGACTGAGTTTATTGCTTCTTGATCGGTAATTGGTTCTTCAATCATTGAACTAAAAGATGAATATAGGATTCATTAATCAGCGACGAATTGTTTACATACCTTCGTTGAATAGTGTACTTGTTTTTCTTTTCGTTCATACTTGGGAAGGATTTAAATAAATAACTTTACCACTTATTTCTTTTTTTTTTCCTTCAAATTTTAAAGGAATTGGAAAAGTTGATGGGCAAAGTTTTGATGTACACTCCGTTTCTAAACCTAAGAAATGCACAAGGGCAATATTCACTTTTAGCAAGTTATCTATACTTGTTATAAATTCTTATTTATTCTCTAAACCAAAAATAAAATATTGTTAAATTATATTTAGCCAAGCAAATTCATCATAAAAAACGGAAACGTTTTTGCAGGTGTTAGAGCTGGGAATCATTGTTCACTCGATTGTGATAGGGCTATCTCTAGGTGCTTCAAATAATACTCGCACAATTAAAGGACTTGTCGCTGCTCTTTGCTTTCATCAAATGTTTGAAGGAATGGGACTTGGTGGTTGTATTCTCCAGGCAAATTTTCATTTTACGACATATAATAAAAATAATTCTCAGTTCACTTTCACTAATTCATTGTTACATGCACTAATTCATATACTCTTCTTTTTATTCAGGCTGAGTACAAGTTTTTGAAGAAGGCAATAATGGCATTTTTCTTCGCAATAACAACTCCATTTGGTATAGCACTTGGTATAGCACTCTCAAGCACTTACGAGGAAAACAGTCCACGGGCATTAATAACCGTCGGATTGCTCAATGCGTCGTCTGCTGGCCTTCTGATATATATGGCTTTGGTGGATCTTCTTGCTGCAGATTTTATGGGTGACAAGTTACAAGGCAGTGTCAAGCTACAAATCAAGTCTTACATGGCTGTTCTTCTTGGTGCCGGTGGCATGTCTCTCATGGCCAAATGGGCCTAAGATTTGTACCTTAATTTGTTTAGAAAGAAGTTTGTGTGAACCTTGTCCCCCTTTTTCCATCACTCATTTCCTCCAATTTTAAAATTGTAATTTCGCCTTCTGCTTAATTATATAACAGATTTTGAGTTGGCAAAATATTCTGTAAAATGTGTCTTCTCTCTTTTTCTTTCCCCTCAAAATTACTGTGTGCCTATTTGGAGCTTTTCATTGTCAAATTGGTCAAACGTTTTTTTGGTGGTAAAATTAAAATGCCTTATATAAATATACAACCGGTGAGTGATAATCATCACTCTAAAATTTAGAACATAAACAAAGCTTGCAAACAGTACAAAACAACCAGCATCCACGAACGTATGTGGCGCTCACAAGGTGTCAGCCTCTACAATTCTTTATCAGCACGTCTGCCCAGATCTATACTTGAAAGACATAACGATTGAGGGATCAGTTTGCATGACTAAGTGAGTAGTAATCCAATCCAAGACTTGATTTGGACATACTAATTCTGAAACCATCAATATATAATGCAACACACGATGCACAACAAACTCATATCTCAAATCATCCAAGTATATAATATGTTATATAGTGCATATATAGTAGTATAACATATCATATACATTTAACAAAAACTCTTAAGTTTTAACCCTTTGCTTTTAACTTTAGCCTTCTCTTCTTACATGTCTTATCGTATTTGTAGACATCAAAATTTTCTTTGGCCCAAAAAAAAAAGAAGAAGAAATTTCTTAGATCAGTCAATACAAAGTTGGGTTGGATCCTTAATTTAAGGCACATTGGACCAAGTCATTTTTTTACATCAATAACCTTGGATTAATTATTTAATTCAAATGACTTAAATCAAATACAGGGGATTCTTACTTATTTATGCTATATTATGAACCTAATTATCAATATTAGAGAGGACTTCTCAATTAATTACATATCCTATACATAATTACCAATTATCTATCAAATAATATATTAGACTTTAATCTTTCCTAATTTCACTCCCTCTTTTCCATTCTCTCTCACCCTTTTTTCTTTCTCAAACCCAATTTTTTTACCGCTTGTTGACACTTCATATCATTCCCATATTTCTCTGACTAGAGGTTTTTCTTTTCTTCATAAAGTTTAAATTAGAGCAGATCTACAAGACTCAATTGGACAGTAATGATTAGAAGATCAATTAAGATTCAAACATATGATACTATGAATTAAATTGAAGTATGACCATTGAAATTTATTATAAATCAGAATATAAACCTTGATCAATAGTAGACGGTCTAAATCATTCCATCCAAGATAATAGACCTAATTAAAATCCATTTTAAACTCCATGACAACTATTAAAAAATTTCAAAGCTTTATAATTCGAAAATTAGGTTTTGCGAAATTGTTATTTGTTTTGATTATGCATTGTTGCAAATGATAGAAAATATCCTTAGGAGTTTAGACCTTAATTTTGAGAGAGTTTTGTGAATATTTGGGCTAGTTTTTGTTGAAATTTCATATTGAATCTCGAAGAGAAAGACGTAAATAAGTTGTATTTGAGGTGTAAANATATATATAATATTGTATGCAAGTTATATGTGTTTGACTAAATTTTGTGCAAAAAAAAGGTTGTATGTTTTGACGGAATTTGAATATATTTTGTTTTAAAAAAAAACTCTAGCTAGATTCTTTTTGTGGCATCCTTGTGTTGAGCTAGCATTCAAGATCTTTCCGTCGGAACGAATGGATTGATTATGTTTCACTTTTCTATTGTCCAACGGCCGCATAGTTTGAGTTGCTCCATCCATATAATCTTTGTTAGTTCTTGAGTTTTGTGTTTACGGATTTCAGTTTCTAAGTTCAGTTGCAATTACACTCATTAAGCCGTAGATTTCATTAAGTTGTATGTAGCTAGGAGTTTTTTTTTTTTTTTTTGGGTTATAAACCATTCACCCGGGCTATGCTTGTCACGGCCCAAAATCCCTCCGATAGAGTCGTGATGGCACCTAGTCTCTAAAACTAGGTAAGCCTAACTGTCACTACCCAAAATCCCACCCGTCGTGATGGCGCCTATCTCGATACTAGGCAAGCCGACAATCTCAATTAACCACATATCTTTTAAATTTGAAAATAGAATGATTAAATTCAGCGGAAGAAATCTCACAAGTACAAATATAAATACTCCCAAAACCTGGTGTCACTAGGTACATGAGCATCTAATGTGAATAAAGTCTGGAAAATACGGTCTATAATAGTCTAAAACCAAATACAGTAAACAAAGAGATAGGGAAGGATAGACAAGGTCTGCGAAACACAACAGCTACCTCTGAATCTCCGAAAAATTAACTGTACGAGAGCATCAACACCCGCTATGTCCGAAAACACCTGGATCTGCACACAAAGTGCAGGGTGTAGTATGAGTACAACCAACTCAGCAAGTAACAATAATAACTAAGGAACTAAAGATAATGAGTAGCTACACAGTTATAGTTCATTTTCAGTAATTCCAGTAGAGAGTAGACATGCTTTCAAATCCAGCAGTTTAAGTCAAATTAATTTTATACAGTTCAAATTCATGTAATCCGGATATAAAATCTTTCAGAGAATCTCACAACAATGACAGATGGCAACTAAGTGTAAAAACAAATGAAAAGCCAGTACAGCCTCTCAGGGCAACAGTCACTCAACTCGTCACAACAGCTCAACCACTCGGTTCCCTCAGCACTCTCACTCAATGGGTACTCAGGCTCACTGGGGGTGTACAGACTCCGGAGGGGCTCCTACAGCCCAAACGCCATAATCCGCACGGACAACTCACGTGCTATAATATCATGCACGGACAACTCACGTGCTATAGTATCCTTACTTCACCGACAGGCCCTCGGCCTTACTCAGTCCTCAACCTCTCTGGTCTCTCCGCTCTCGGAAATCACAAAGATCAGTCCAAACAAAGATAACATAGTGTATCAACAAAATCAAGAAAGACTGAGGTATGATACGCAAGTAAAATCCTGACTGAGTACAAGACAATAATTAGCAAATAATTCAACAAGTACGCGACCTCTGCAGATCCCAATAGTACCAACATAGCCTAAGCATGATTTCTAACACAATTTACAGTCAAATTTCTTCAACACATAGAGGGCATATAGCTAACAACAAGTTATTCAACTTTAAAGTTTCACGGTACGGACCAAGTCACAATCCCCTCGATGCACACCCACGTGCCCGTCGCCTAGCATGTGCGTCACCTCCAAAATAATCACATGACACAAAATCCGGGGTTTCATACCCTCAGGACTAGATTTATAACTGTTACTTACCTCAAACAGTAAAATTCTTATTCCGCTAAGCCTTTGCCTCGTGAATTGGCCTCCAAACACCTTGAATCTAGCCACAAATAATTCGATTCAGTCAATAAAATTTATTGAAATTAATTCCATAAGAAAATGCTAATTTTTCATAAATATCCGAAATTTAGCTCAAAAATCGCTCGTGGGGCCTACGTCTCAAAATCCGACAAAACTCACAAAATCTGACAACCCATCCAATTACAAGTTCAACCATACTAATTTCACTCAAATCCGACTCCGAATCGACACCGAAATCTCAAAAAAATTAATATGAGATTTCTAAAATTGTCTCAAATATCAATCTCAAAACACTAATTAAATGGTAAAAATAATGATATATTCGAATATATTGACCAAATCCGAGTTAGAATCACTTATCCCAATATTTTTCCTTAAAAATCTATCAAAAATCGCCTCTCCTCAAGCTCCAATTTGTCAAAAATGACGAATGGGACGAAGTCCCCTACTTTATAATTCTACCCAGGCAGCCCTCGGTCTTGCCTCGATCTTGACCTTCGATCATGGGCCTCGATCCTGGGCCTCGATTCTGACCCTCGATCCTGGCCCTTGATCCTGGCTTCAATCATGGCCCTCGACCCTGGCCTTCGATCATGCCTTCAATCATGGCCCTCGATTTCTGGGCTTGATTTCTGGCAGAAGGAATTTCCAGTAGAAGGAAATTGCAGCAGCTGTTTTAGTCCAACTTTTGATCCGTTAACCATCCGAAACTCACTCAAAGCCCTCGGTACCTCAACTAAATACACCAACAAGTCCTAAAACATCATAAAAACTTAGTCGAGTCTTCAAATCACATCCAACAACACTAAAAACACGAATCACACATAGATTCAAGCCTAATGAACTTTGAAACTTCCAATTTTTACAAATGACGCCGGAACCTATCAAATCATGTTCGATTGACCTCAAATTTTACACACAAGTCATAAATGATATAACAGAGGTATTCCAATTTTCAGAATCGGATTCCGACCCCGATATCAAAAAGTCAACCCCTCGGTCAAACTTTCCAAAAATTCAACTTTCGCCATTTCAAGCCTAATTCCTCTACCGACCTCCAAAAAAAAATTTCGGACATGTTTCTAAGTCCAAAATACTATACGGAGCTATTGAAATCATCAAAATTCAAATCTGAAGTCGTTTACACATAAGTCCACATCTAGTCAACTTTTCAAACTTAAATTTTCAATTATGAGACTAAGTGTCTCGTTTCACTATGAATTCCTTCCAGACCCGAACCAACTAACCCGGTAAGTCATAAAATAACTGTAAAGAATAAATTGAGCAGTAAATGGGGGAACGGGGTTATAATACTAAAAACGACTGGCCGGGTCGTTACATTCTCTCCCTCTTAAACAAACGTTCGTCTTCAAACGGGTTTAGAATCATACCTGGAGTCTCAAATAGGTGTGGATATTTGTACCGCATCTCCTACTCAATCTCCCAAGTAGCTCCTCCGATTGGCTGGCCTCTCCACTGTACCTTCACTGATGCTATGTTCTTTGACCTCAACTTTCGAACCTGCCAGTCTAAAATAGCCATCGGCTCCACATCATAAGTCAAATTACGGACCAGCTGTACTGTATTGAAATCCAAAATATGAGACGGATCCGCGACATACTTTCGGAGCATGGATACATG